GAGGCAAACGCCTGTCCCGCCGCTCTGCAGGGGGGACACCCTGGGCTCAACCTCTTAAAATGATCCTTAGGGTTAGTACAACAACTGTGCCAAGTATCCGGTATCACATTTTGCAAGGTAGTACCCACTAACCTCCGGACTAGTTCGTGTCGAGTGGAAATTCCTGCTTGAAAAAAGCGTTTTTAGTGAAAAACGAAAAAATGCTCAACTTTGGAGCTGCACAGCGCCTAGACCGTTTGAGCTACAGACCTGGGTGTGTGCTCATTGGATTCAGCGGACCATTTTCTACCGAATGCAAGTTTCGGAAAGTCAAAAAAAGTAATTTTTCCAAGTTTCCCCAAAAGCTGTTTAAATTATTGTAATTTTTCGACTTTTTCGCAAATATCTCAAAAACTATTCGTCGTAGAGTAAATCTGAGGGCATATTCTGGTTCCTCGTTCAATTCTACATAAGGATGCCAAATTTTAAGTCATTCGGACGAAAACTGTGTTTGTAGGACAAAATACCCAAAATGCCTGCAAAATGGGCAAAAAAAACCACAAAATGCACCATTTCTCCGAAACGAAACTTTTATCGGCCAAACCAAAAATGGCCGATTTTTACTTTATATGAAGAGAACTTACCCACACACAAAAAATCAGAAGGATCGGACGACATCAATGTCAGGGGTGGCTTTTCTTAAATAAAATTGCTCACAGGGGTCACGCTTCAAGGCCCCAACGGTACTTCGTTGTTGATTCGTACCTGGGGAGCCTCAGACAGAAACTTCCTAGAACTCAAAATAAAAGATTTGCCTGATTTCGATGTACCCTATATTTCAGACGCCCTCCAAAACTATGCCTGATCACCGATCACATCCGCTTGTGTTGTTCAAGGACCCTCTACCTGAAGCGAAAGAGGGGCCATACTCAGATTTTCCTCTGCTCCCTCCACTTAAATTAATAAACGCCTTTATTACGAATCGCCCCTGTTACGAATCGCCCCACTCTCCCTTACGATTTCAGGTTTAGGACACGGACTTTGAATTTGAAATAAACTTGAATGATACGTACCGATTGATCCATGCTGAAAACCTGGCGGAAGTGATGAGGAGTCGGAATGCAACGAGCTGTCCCTTTCCGAAAGTCGTGTGCGTAAGTCGCAGGTATTCCTAGGACGTCCTCCTACTTGTGGACATGCCGATCAGAACCTGCAAAACACACAAAATGGGTCATATGTGGTCATAAGAGGCTCTGGCTCTAACGACCGCCCCATTGGAAGAGACCAAGGGAAAGACGACGTCAAAAATATATGTGCACCGTAATTTAAAATTAAGTCACATTAATTCAAGGTTATTTCACGTTACTTCGGATGGAAACGTACACAAAGCATCAAGTAATTTCCAACTCGGAAGAGACAAACACCCTTAGTACCTTGCGGAAAATGTGTTCGCACAACGAACAAACTCCATGATACGCTCGCAGTTCGGGCAGAAGTGGGGCAAGAAGTGGCCTAAAAGAGTGACTCCCAATTTCCTACCGAGAAATGCCGTGCAGTCTTAATGCTAAGATACTTCTCAGTACCCTACGACACAAATCTGTCATAAAACAGGGAAATTTGCGTTCGTAATATGAAGAAAGTGGTCATGAGTTACTGAGAACTCTTCACCATAGGTTCACCTTTGCTGCGCAGTCACAATACTAAGCTTTCAGTTCGTACGAAGAAAAAGCTCAGTAGGATATTGGGAGTGTAGTATTTGCACGCAGCCTTCTCTTTGGGCCCCGTTACACTATATTTGTCTAGCGAAGAAATTTCCGATAATACGAAGGAAATGGCGCAAGCATAATACGAAGGTGGTTTTTCTTCGTATTACGAAGTTTTTTCTTTGTATCTTACAATGGAAAAGCTACAAAGCTACTAAGGAATATTGCTTCGTATTATGCTTGCGCCGAATCAACTGTAACATACGAATTCTTGGTTCCTCGGCTCCTTGAAATTGCCTACATTCAGGGGACAACATACAGCGCTGCGGCACGGACATAATGCGAACTACCGATATGGCGGGAGATTTTGAACTTGGAACATATCAAACAAGGTTTGGGAAGTGAATTTTGATCCGTATGACCTAAATTTCAATGAAGATGCTTCCCATGATTAAATATTGTGGCCTAAAGTTGATCCCAGGCACATGATTGACTGCTTTTTGGTGTTCCCAAGAGCTCGGGTTGGGGTGGTCCGACTAAAGCTTTCTCGACATCTTTTATTTTAGACCTAATGTTTTTTCTTGAATTATTGATTGACTATTTTTGTGTTTTGTGATCACTGATCATGTTAACCTAATGTTTCATTAGAACTTCAATGTTACTTCTTCTTGAACAATTGAGTGAAAACTTATTTATGCAGCCCCTTTTTTTCTTTGACTTTTTGTACGCAAAGAAGTGAAAAATTAATGTTCCTCACCTTTGTTTAAATTTGTATTAATTAAATCTTAATATATACTAACAAATTTGTTCACTTGCTCGCCCTTTTCCCAACAGTTTGCAAAAGTCGCAGGTATTGCCTAACGTCCTTTTAAATTTGTGATAATGCCGCAAAGCAAATGAACAAATTGGTTAGTGGTATAAGAGGTTGGCTTAACGACCGAATTTTAAACCAAGGGAAGAACGTAATTTTGCACCTTTTAAAAAAGTCACATTAATAAGGAGTATAATCACGTTTTCATGGAATTGTTCAAAAGAAAGTAACATTCCAATTTCTGAAGAGAAAACATTGGGTTAACCTTGATAAGTTTTCCCACAAAACAAATATAACGTCGCATCGATAAGGGGGCAAGAAAAAAGATTGGTCCAAATTATAAAATGTGGGAGAAAAGCTTTAGTCCCCCACGCCCAAAAACCCGGGAATCTTGGGAATACCAAAAAGCAGTCAATCTTCACCTAGGTTAAACCTTTGGCCACAATATTTTCATGGGAAGCTCTTATTGAAAGTGTGGGTTTTTACGGATAAAATTCTTTTTCCCCGAACTTGTTTGTCTAGCGTTTCCAAATACAAAAATCTCCGCCATATCGGTAGGTGGCATTTTCCGTAGGTACGCCAGGTTTTTCGCCGATGGAAAAAAGCACAGCCAAGGGGAAAAGCTTCGAATTTTTTAACAACTGTCAAATTTCATTCCAGCAATTATCTCCGTACAACCTATCGTGCCGTTTCAGGCGGTGGGAGGTCAAGTGGAGCTGGTACACAAGACGTTGCCGTGTTAATGCACTATTAAAAGCTTGCAATGAAAACAACTTTGCAGTAAGAAGTATTCTCCAGCATTGTATCACAAACTCTCTTGTTTGCATCGCATTGTAAAGAAATAGTTCGCAAGTTTCGAGGAAAAAAGTTTGCAACGTCGCGAAGCATTGGTTTGTAACGCGTGCTGCAAAGCATTTTCTTTGCAAGGCAAATAAACTAATTTGTAAGAGAGTTTGCAATACAATGCCGGAGAATACTTCACAAGGTGGTTTGGGCTCCGAATGGAACAAGGACAGTTTCGCCAATTCTCGTTGTGACTCAGGGGGAGCAGAAGTAGACGCGTACCGCGGCAGCAGCAGTTCGCAAAGCGAAAGGGCGAGAAAGAAGAAGAGCACCAGAAAATTCCCCAAATCGGAGCTTTCGACGCACCAACATCTAACCTACATGAAAGCACATAACCATCGATTCGGACGAGACTAATGCGAGACAGCTGGTTTTTCCCCTCACGGTCAAAAATGATCAAACTGGGCATTGAGGCCAGCCGCGGAAGCAACTTTTGAATTTTGTACAGTTGCCTGTCGCAGCGGTGGCGTCCGGAAGTTGTTCAAGTTCGATTTGGAACCTTGATAAGTGACGTTGCCGCGTGTTGTGCACTGTGACGTGACGGCCCTCTCGGAAGACGACCGAACTACGTCCCACATTACAATGCTTCAGTTACAATTTCCATGAACGTGTGGCGTCGCAGCCACAGTTGTTGAAGAGCAGTAATCGGCTCGCTTACTATACCCCTCTAAATTCAACGGCTTAGACGCTGTGACCAGAAAACCCCGGCCGGAGCGGTCGGGTTCTTTTGGCTTACATAGTACATCGTCCCCCTCCGATCTGTTCCAAATTTTGGCCAAATGTTACGTACCTTTAGATAAGTCGTCCACCAAAAAATTAGACTTCTACGATGCATGGTTTGGCTGTAGGCGCATTTTTTTTTCATTTCTACCATTTTTACTTAAATTAGTGTAGGCTTTTACGAAAACGGTTACAAATTCCTTTCTAATCACCAGACTACGTTAAAACCAGACACCCTCACTCAAAATTAAACGAGGAATCTAAATCTGCCGTCGGAATTGACCTAGGGTGACCCAAAGTTGGTCAAATGCTAAAAAAAACGAAAAAAAATGACATTTGCCCCAACACTTACAGGGCTCCTAGACAGCTCAAAATCTTCAGAAAAACGCCCTAATCAGAATGCAGAAGTCCCAGTATAAGCCTCCTAAGGTTCAGTTTTTTTTACTAAAAGGCGAAATTCCGCCCAAAACCGCTTGGCCAGAAAAGTAGCTTCTTTGCAGAGCGAAGCACGCTGGGGGACCTGAACGCTTGAAATGCTCCCCCACCCCCCACCCACCTAAATACCTGTATTACATGGTCCACGCTCCATAGTACAGCTTCATTGCCCAAACTTGATACGCGAACCATCATAGGTCAAGATCGATACATTATTTTGTAATTACGGACAAACAGGCAATGATTTTTAACCCCACCCGAATAACAGACTTCGCTGTCGCTCAGCCAATTTAATGGTAATATAGCTTTCAATGACCGCCTTTACTCTTGAGCCGTTCAATGTGAAACGTGACCGTTTCCTTCATCAAAGACTTTCCTTCGGAAGTAGCGTGGATAACTATCTTCCAACTTTTCAGGACCAGGCAAAATTGGCGGCTGAAGATCTTCGAACCTTCGATTGTCATACTTGTAATAACCCTGCGAAAGAAAAAACATCGTTTCTTTAAAACTTCAGAATATTTTTTTTTTTTTAGTTTTCGCAATGTTTTATGTGTACCACGCATTCCTTCATTAATTTAAACTCACCACAAGCGGACATGAGGGAGGGAACTTGTAATATGTCTTGAAACTTCTAAATATGGGCCTATTCTCCTTGCGTAAGTAGTCACACAGGTTGGTGCGGTACTTGATGAAGCTTTGAATGTACCTCTTCTGGTGCATCTCGTAAAGACTTGTATCTATCTGTTGAACAAACGCATACTCTCAAATCTCACTCATTGAAAAACCAAACGTGGTCGAGACCACACCTACACGGTAAAAACGGTACCTGGTTTTCCCAGGAGCCCTATGGAGAAGACATAGGCGATTTCCAGGGGGTTCCTGGGAAAACCAGGAACCGTTTTTGCCGTGTACTGGTGTGGTCAAATAGGTGCCATTTTGACCGCATCAGTTGCTGTGGTCTAAACCACGTTTAGTGTGGTCATTGTTTGGAAAGACTACACCAAACGTGGTCTAGACCACACCTACCGTGGCCAAACGTGGTCTAGACATTTTCAATATCAGAGCTAGTGCGGGCGGGCCTCACCAACCTAACACGCACTTACCATGGTGTTGTTTGGCAGTTCCTTTATAATGTCCTTGACAGAGGAGATCTGCGAGTGCCCGGACTTGTCCTTTGGACGCAAGAACGTGCCCGTGCCCTCGCCGAAGTAGGTGTCGTCGTAGATACACTCGGCGCTGTCGAACTCAACCTCATAGCTCTATACAATTGCATTTAGGAGTTAAGATACACTCAGAGTAGATTCATTTAAGGCCAGGGATAGAGGAAAAAATGAAGAAGTTCAGTAAAATTAAATGACCTGAGTTTTGGGTGGAAAATGGTCCTTTGGACCTTCCTCTTTCAGGATCTGTCGGGACTTCGACTATCCGGGACCAGGAAGTCCGTTAAATAGATCTTTTCGTACACCCCTGCATTCCCGACATTTTAGTCAAATCGTCCATTTTGCCATCAAGGGGAGGTTCTTGGTGAAAATCTTGCCATTTTCAAAATGAACCGCACTGTCATAATTTGTTGGGAATATGAAATCTTACTTCAAAGAGACTAAGATTTGATTTTTGAAGGCATATGCCAGGCCTTGAACCCAGTCGAATTGCCTTTTTTTGGACTGTTTTGGCTTTGTACAGCAGTATCTCAAAAAATCTTCTTGCGCATACTATTTTGACGTAAAATGCTCATCTTAATACTTAAATGAAACTTAATTCATTTTTCAAAAATTCCGGCCCTGTTTAGGTTTTAAATTTTCATTAATTAAGAAAATTTAGGCACCCAACTTTTTTTCTGGAGAAGTTTTTCTAAAAAACTTGTTCTAAAAATTTTGGTACCAAAATTTTGGTTGATTTTTTTACAAGTTTTTTAAATTTTCCCTTCTTACAAAGCCTTGCCAAAATTAAATGAACATTTTTTCTCAAACTCAAAATCCTGAAAAATGAAAATTTCCAAAAAGTGAAAAAAATTCCAACAACCTTTTCCAAACAAAATTAAATTTTCCGAAGGAAAGGGTTTTGTTGGCTGTCCAATGGGGAAAAAAAAAATCGTCACCAACTTTAAACTTTTTGGTATCGCAAAATAAATTCTCAGTAAACCACCAAATAACCCCCTAAAACCTCTAACTTGGAATAAATTGGAGTCCAGTCTATGGCAGTAAAATTTTTTATAGTTTAAGCAATAAAAAAACCGCACGAATATTTAAATCCCACCAGAATTTTGCAGCAATTATTTTTTTAAAATTAAATATAAATTTTCAGCGGTTTTTCGGGGGTTTTGGCCTTTTTCCCTTTCGGGAAAAACCCCGGCCAAAAACCGCAACCTTTTACCCCTTTCTGCCCCCAAACTTTTTTCCCCGGAAAAACCCCCGTTGGTTTTTTTTTGGGGGTTTCCCCCCAAAAGGGTTTATACTCTATTTGACGTGTACTCACAAGTAAAATCCAGTGAGAGTGAACACGGCTGAGCACACTTTAACGAGCTCCGCTGAGTACACTCCAATGAGAGTGTGAGTGTGCTCAGATCAGTAAGCACTTAACGTAGTTCCCTTTGAAAACAAATTCAGCTGAGACTGCGTGGGACTGTTCTCTTGAGTACACGCCAAAAAGAGTATGCAAGTGAGTTCAATCTAAACAGAGTTGACTTTGCAAAGTAGAGCACTTCAGATGCCCGTTCCATACATATAAACTGCAGTTCTGCTAACATGCTAACCTGCATTGCATATGATTTGTTTTTATTGTTATACCTGGTGAGCATTATATTTAATGGTCATTATATTTTGTGGGTATTATATCTGATGAGACGGTTAATTTTAAAATATTAATTCGTGTATATCTGGTGCTCTGCAAACCTAACTGTCTACTAAGTACATACACACTTACAAATGCATGCTTGCAAGTACACACTTACAAATGCATGCTTGCAAGTACACACTTACAAATGCATGCTTGCAAGTACACACTTACAAATGCATGCTTGCAAGTACACACTTACAAACGCATGCTTGACGCCGTGTAACTCCATGCGTCAAGCATGCGTTTGTGAGTACCGTCAAGTCCCCTAAATGTGGACACGAACTCTAAAGTGGGACATTTTGACTATTTTCCCTATTTTAGGCTGTAAACGGCCAACGCGTGGATTTTTTGCGAGGTAAGAAATTTTTTTGAGACGGTAGGCCCCCTCCGAGACCATATCCGCAGAGAGTGTTTTGTTCCCGCTCATACCCCCTCCCTAAAAAAATTTGAAAATTGGAATTTGATGCAGAAAAAAAGAGAAGTTTTTTGAGACGTCTAGCGCGGATTCGGGGCTTCGAGCCGTTGATGCTCGGACCATTCTAGACTTCAGACATGTTGTAGCGCGTTCTTTTATCTACAAGATGCACTTTAGAAAATTTTTTCCGATGCTTCGTTTTACGGTGGGAAGCAATCTTCGAAGGGGCTGCAAAGTGGGACACATGAATTTTCTTCGTTTTTTTTAATGTTTTGACCGATTCAGAGGAGTTGCTTTCACCTCCAGCGTCCTACAAACGCCGCCTGGCCTATATTAGGTTGCCAGGTGGGTTTTGGAGGCCCAAGCAGTCGCGCAAGTACGGTTCGGTACGCTTTAAGCCAGCACAAAATTTAGTTAATGTTTGAAAGCAAATGCTTCCTCTTGGCTTAACCGAAAAGATATCGTTATCGACCATAAAACAAACCTTGCGTAAAAATATTTTTTAAAAAAAAAATGTTTTAGATAAGGCTGCAGGGCGAACGGTTTTCAAATTTCAAAATTTCAACCTCTAATTCTTGCCGTGCATTTCGAAACTTATAAAATACGACCTGAGCAAAAAATTTCATAAAATGTTTTTGGTCAAAAATTTAAAATTTTAAGGCCATTTTTTTTTATTGGTTTTCGCCGTATTTCAATTGGTTTAGGCGTTACGGTGGTTTCAAATTTTAAAATATCTAAGGAAATCTTATTGATTGAAGAGGCTCATATCTGCTTAACCATTCGAGATATCGAAAAGGACTTCAGAACCAATCGTGCTCCAAATTAAATTTAGAACATAATACATTTTATGAAATTTTTTGCTTCTGCAGTTTTAAGGCAAAAAAGAGTGAACGTGTCCCACTTTAGGGGACTTCGTCCCACTTTAGGAGACTTTGGCTCCTAAATTGGGACACGGTTCTTGCTGCTCCTACTGGAGCCCCATGGGCTGAAAATTTTTTTTGTTTTCGGTAAAAGACGTGTTTTGACATGAGGATTCTTAAGTCCCCGGCGATTTTCGGTGTCATCGTTATTCTGTGAATAACAGACGATTTCCGTAAAAAACGTCCCACTTTAGGGGACTTGACGGTACTTGCAAGCATGCATTTGTAAGTGTGTACTTGGCCAAGCATGCGTTTTTAATGTGTGCTCGCAAGCATGCATTGGTAAGTGTGTTTTTAGTAGACAGTTAGGTTTGTAGTGTGGGTTTTATTTCGTGCGAATATGCGTTTTTAAAAATAAAATTAATTCCTGTATATCTGGTGAGATTTATATCTGGCGGGATTATATCACTGTTAAAAAAAAAGTCTGAAAATTCAGACCAAATTGGTAAGAAGTTATTAACAGACTTGAGGTCTGAAAATTTAGACCATTTAGATGGTCTGAAAATTCAGAACTCGAGAGTCTTACATTTAAGAGTTTTGGGGTCTGAAAATTTAGTCCTGTACGAAGATTGTGAACTTTAAGGGTTTGTGACTATTCAATATGACATAGAAAGAATTTAGGGTGTGTGAACCTCCAGAGAGGACAACATTGAGTAAAAATTGTGATGAGGGAGAAGGTCCTCTGTCCTTTTCCCCGACTCTCGAGAGGCCGGCCTGTGGCACCCAAGGGAAAAGGCGACACGGAGCCACCCCCGAGAGGTAAATTTGAATGTGGATTGTTCAACTTCCACCCATATTTGGGAGATAAATCTTGCGGCAGAGAATGGTTCTCATATGGCCGATTAAGTCCTATCAATTTGGAATTTTTAACCAATATTTTTCACATTAGAAGCCTTTTAAACAGAATAGGTATGTTCCCAACATGCGCGCCATCTAGCGGACAAACGAAATCTTGGGGTTTGGGCTGAATTTTCAGACTTAACCATCTAAAATTTTTAGACTGCGCTGGTCTGAATTCAGGTTTGAGACGATCAGGTCGCAATTTTTATACCGGAAGGCAAATTTTCAGACAAGCAGTCTGAAACAAGTCTGAAAAATAGATTCAGACCACCAAGTCTGACAAAAGTAGTCTGAATTTTCAGATTTTTTTTAACAGTGATCTGGTGGGAATGTATATCTGGTGAGGTAACCCCCTTTAAACGCCCTTTCCTCCGAAGACATTTTTTTTAACATTTGAATGGTCCTGTGCGCATACAGTTTGAAGTGTCGTCAATGATATTTCTTCACTGACTCAGTAGGTTATAGGGAAGAATCGTAAGTGACAGTTTTTGCACATTCCACAAAGTATCGTTTTGAAATTTGTATTTAAAAAAAAAAAGGAGAAATCTTTGGTATTTTAAAAATGCCAAAGTTGAAAATTTGATATTCTGGAAGTGCCGGAAACTGAAATCAGTCACTTACGATTGTTCTTTGGACTTTGACTAACAAGAATTTATGCCGGTCAGGTCAATTTCCCAAAAATTCCACCGTCACCAGGAGGCTGTCAATATTATTTTTCGCAAGAACAATTAAATTTGATTAATTTTTTGGGCAGAAATACATGTTTTGGTCTGAATTGGTAGTCTGTATCGTCACAATCAAATCGAAGAATGGAATGATTTTTTTCCTGCTTTTCATATGGTGGGTGGCAGTTGGTTACCCTGTTTGCAGCGTGGAGCTGGATCAATAGTTCGGCCAGCACGAGAAGGAGAGCGACGCAGCGGGGCCGCCAGGGCCCCAAAGGCGACCGCATCCTGCCGGTGCCGCGGGAATGCAGCTACTGTTTGTGATGGCGTGTTCCAAACCACGGGACATGCACACAAGAGAACGGAGATTCACACGAGCATTCGTTTTTCGCCATGCTTTCGTCATCCGGACTGTCACATGTTCAAGAATAAGATCTTAACTTCATGGTTAGCAAAAATCTTAAATTGACCCATATGAAAAAGAGAGGCTCACAAAACACGGCGGCTCTGTCCGAAAACGGTTCCACCGGACTCGTCCGGCTGACATCCAGAATGAAATCCGGCAAGGTTTCGGGTGTTGTCCGACGTGTGTGACGTTACAGCCACGGTCGTTGAAGAGCAGTATGTTCAATAATTAATCTTCTTTTCCAAGCGCTCGCTTTGGTTAAAGTGTCTTCTCCCGAAACAGTTCCTGGAACGGGCAAAATAGGGTGCTTCACCTTCGCGCCGAATTCAAGAAGAGCGCGGAGGTTGGAACGATCGAGGGGGGATATACACTGTGGACGAGGTCTGTAAATCATCCAACTTCCTCCACCGCGTTAATTACATACTCAGTGCGATTTCTCTGGGGCATTTTAACGAATCCGTGGACCGGAAATAGAAGAGCAAAAGTACTAAAACCGCTTCTGAGCATGCGCTGACGTCCCCCCTCCACTCTGAGGCAGCGTGCGTCTGCGCGGAGCCTGTTTTATTTCTTACTTTTGTACTTTGAATTCCAGTCCGGGGATTTGTTTAAATACCATATTTTCCGTTTCCATATGGTATCATAAGGTGTTCACTCAGCCCGAGGTGTGCATGGGTGCGCAGCCCTTGGGTAATTCTTTGTGGAATCAGCAAGCTCAAAAACACGACTGCCACCGATCCTGGTGAAACTTACATGGATGATTACCTACTTAGTTTTGAGTGGAAGGTGCAAGTTTGAAAGAAGTCTGGTGATTAGAAAGAAATTGTAGCTGTTTTCGTAAAAGCCTACACTATTTTAAGTAAAAATGAAAAGATGAATAGGGAACCCTGAATAGGGTCAGCATTACTTCATGCACAGGAGCGGGTTTGGTTCGGGGTCATTCCATCCTACTTTTACATCCCGTTACATCGACCTCCACCGATTTACTCCAAATTTTGATCAAATGTTACGTACCTTCAGATAAGTCGTCCATCATAAAATTAGACCTCTACGATGCATAGTTTGGCTGTAAACGCATCTTTTCATTTTTACTTAAACAAGGTAGGTTCACGCCAGACCGCGTCTTGTCGTAACAGGCTTCGCGATGTCTCGCGGCCTGTTCCTCCAATCCGCGCCTGGCGTACCTACCTTGGCCTGCGGCGCTAGCCTGCCTTCGGCAGGCATTGGCTTATCCATCGTCGGTTACTCCTTACGTGTTGCATACTGGCGCCCCAGACCCCCCTTAATTCTAGGTAGAGTTGCTTCATCTATAAATAACACGATCTTGACCCTTGTATTTTTCTAACTTGTCGAGGCTGGGGGGCCGCGCCCAGACCCCCCTTTCTTCAAGACAGAGGTAATCTACCTGCAGAAAACTCGATTTTTCGCCGTTTTTAGGTGTTTTTCGGCTATAAAAACTGAACCAGTTGAGCTAGGATAGTGAGATTTCGCTTGTGCCGAGCCAAGAACATACCTAATAAGCCTGCAAAATCTCAGCCAGATCGGCCGAGCTGTTCAGGAGGAGTAGTGTACACACACACTCACACACAGACAGACAGACAGACAGACAAAACTTTTCAACCGCACTGGAGTAACGGGCTTCGCTATCGCTCAGCCAAATAGTGTAGGCTTTTACGAAAACGGCTACAATTCCTTTCTAATCACCAGACTTCTTTCAAACTTGCACCTTCCACTCAAAACTAAACGAGGAATCTAAATCTGCCGTCGAAATTGACCTCGGGTGACTCAAAGTGGGTCAAATGCCAAAAATACGAAAAAGAAAGACTTTTCCCCCAATTTTGAGGGCTCCTAGACAGCTCAAAATCTACAGAAAAACGCCCTCTTTAAGAATCAGAATGCTGAAGTCCCAGTGTAAGCCTCCTAAGGTTCAGTTTGTTTTTTTACTAAAACGCGAAATTCCGCCCCAAACCCCTTGTTTGACCCCATACGGATGTTTTTGTCCGTAAAAGATTTGGGAATCCGTATGTAACGACGAAATTACCTGTAAATTACGGACATCAAAACCTTTGTATTACGGACAACAACATCCGTATCCAGTAGCCTGGAAGTTTGAGACGAGGCCAGAAAACTAGCTTGTTTGCTGAGCGGAGCGAAGCACCCTGTTGGGAAATCGGAACGCTTGAGATGCAACCCCCCCCCCAATACCTGTATTACATGGTCCAGGCTCCATAGTCCAATCTCTATAGTCCCCGCTCCATAGTGCGACCTCAATAATCCGAACTCCATAGGCCAGCTTCATAGACCAAACTTCATACGCGAACCATCATGGGTCAAGATCGATAAATTATATTGTAATTTATTAACATCTGTCGTCAGTACCGTGACGCGTCAAAGAGAGGGGCACACAGGTAAACACTGGGGAAACCTTACAAACTATTTTGGGCCTTACAAAGAAAAGTAGTTTGTATAACAAAGTATTTTGAGCATACATAAGCTTACGAAGAAAATACTTCGTAATTTACAAACTATTCCTTCGTACTACTAAGTATATTTAGTGTGTTATATGTTTGGTCAAAATTCATCGATTTTTCGTAAGGTTTTAAGAGTAAAGAATTTAACCCCCCCCCCCCCCACTTCGCTGTCGCTCAGCCAATTTAATGGTAATATAGCTTTCAATGACCGCCTTTATTCTTGAGCCGTTCAATGTGAAACGTGATCGTTTCCTTTATCAAAGACTTTCCCTCGGAAGTCATGCCGATGACTATCTTCCAATTGTCTGGACCAGGAAAAATTGGTGGTTGAAGGTCTTCGAACCTTCGATTGTCATACTTGTAATAACCCTGCGAAAGAAAGATCATCGTGTTTCTACAAAACTTCTGAATTTTTTTGAAGTTTTCGTTATGTTTAACTTGTACCACGCACTCCTTCATTTCAACTCACCACAAGCGGACATGAGGGAGGGAACTTGTAATATGTCTTCAAATTTCTAAATATGGGCCTATTCTCCTTGCGTAAGTAGTCACACATGTTGGTGCGGTACTTGATGAAGCTTTGAATGTACCTCTTCTGGTGCATCTCGTAAAGACTTGTATCCATCTGTTGAACAAACGCATAGAGGCATTTTTTTTAAGAAGTCCGATCGTGGAACACGACCGATGCCAATTTCCTCTATTTTTTGGTCAAAGGTAGTCCTTGTGGGTCTAAGAAAGGCCACAAATTTTTTGGGCCGAAATATGCACCGTTCAGATTCTATGGGCAATTTTCGTTTTCTCTGACAACTTTTCACATAATATGGCCAAAATTGAATAATCATCTTTCTGAGGCCTCTATGCACTCGATTGAGCTCAAAATGTGGTATCTTATGTAAAATCACGCGAGGAACACGAATCCGGTGCCCGTTTGTTGATAGGACAACCCAAACAGATGTTATGACTGTTTTTTAGGTTTTGTAGTGGTTTTTACTTTTCTTGGGGTTTTGGTGTTCGGCATCGATTTTCGCCAATCCGATGAGTGGATTTTATAGATAAAGGACCAATCTATCATACTACGAGATAAAAAGTTTGTGTACGCCGCGTGAAATGCAGTGGCGCTGCAAAAATTGAAAAACCGTCATTTCTGGGTAGTTTTAGATCAGCTAAGCCACCTTTCGAGTGACCGTCTCCGCCCCATATTCAGTCTAAATATTGTCCCAAGTGATGTCAGAGTTGGTGTGAAATTTCACCGCTGTAGCTCAAGTAGTTTGGAAATGGCAGCTTTCTAAAGTTTTGCAATCACGTAAGGCATTTACTTTAAGTAGAATTGCGGTAAATGTGAAGACTTGTCACAGATCGGGTAATAAATGAGATAGATGAGTGCGTCAAAGTTCTCTAGGCGTAATTTTGGACAAGGAATCCGATTTCGCCGGTACGAAGGCCCTAGGTGTACTCTAAAACTACGTTTTCATGCAAACCACATAAAAATGGCTTTTTTTTCCAACTTCAGAGTTCGCCTAGGCTCTTCGTACCAGCAAAATCGGATTCCTTGTCCAAAATTACGCTTAGAGAACTTTGACGCACTCATCTATCTCATTTATTACCCGATCTGTGACAAGTCTTCACATTTACCGCAATTCTACTTAAAGTAAATGCCTTACGTGATTGCAAAACTTTAGACAGCTGCCATTTCCAAACTACTTGAGCTACAGCGGTGAAATTTCACACCAACTCTGACATCACTTGGGACAATATTTAGACTGAATATGGGGCGGAGACGGTCACGCGAAAGGTGGCTTATCTGATCTAAAACTACCCAGAAATGACGGTTTTTCAATTTTTGCAGCGCCACTGCTTTTCACGCGGCATACACAAACTTTTTATCTCGTAGTATGATAGATTGGTCCTTTATCTATAAAATCCACTCATCGGATTGGCGAAAATCGATGCCGAACACCAAAACCCCAAGAAAAGTAAAAACCACTACAAAACCTGAAAAACAGTCATAACATCTGTTTGGGTTGTCCTATCAACAAACGGGCACCGGATTCGTGTTCCTCGCGTGATTTTACATAAGATACCACATTTTGAGCTCAATCGAGTGCATAGAGGCCTCAGAAAGGTGATTTTTCAATTTTGGCCATATTATGTGAAAAGTTGTCAGAGAAAATGAAAATTGCCCATAGAATCTGAACGGTGCATATTTCGGCCCAAAAAATTTGTGGCCTTTCTTAGACCCACAAGGACTACCTTTGACCAAAAAATGGAGGAAATCGGCATCGGTCGTGTTCCACGATCGGACTTCTTAAAAAAAATGCCTCATACTTTAATGTCTCACTGTCATCCAAAATGTGTCGCGCCGGTACGTAGTCCATGGTTACAACCCTGGCCTACCTACCGGGCGCGACGCCTCGGCCGGAGCT